TGGTTCACCCAACGGTGGCATCTGAAAGTTTTTACAGAAATAGTGTGCGATGAGTGCTTCATTTATATGGCAACACTGGAGCATCAACAAGGATTTTAATGAGAACAGTTTTTGTAGAGTAAGATTATTTGATACAAACTGCGTTTGGAGCAATTCAAAATGTCAGTTCAGGGAAATCGTTTTCGACATTTGACCAATTAAATTAATTCGTACCCGCCGATTCTCAAGAAGGTCAGCATCACGAAATGCTTCGCTCATATCATCAGCCTTTACTCCACTCTTGAACTCTTCACCAATATTACTGATTTCATCGTACTTGAAATGATCCTCACCAAACAGCTTTCGAGCAACAATATGCCTGTATTCAAAGAAATGACCAAAGGTAATTTAAACGAACGATGAGGTTCGATTTTTTCAACAGTGCGATTTTTGTTTCTCGATGTGGATGTCATCAGGAAAGTGCAATTTATCACAATGCCTATGAGCAACAAGTGAGGGAACAGAAAGCAGAGGAACATATGCATACCTCAATCTGGTGGCTCGTTTCAGTTTTTCATCCGAAATCGGTAAGTATGATACACGGGCTTTGTAGCGTGCTACGGACGGTAACTCTGCAATTTCGATGCATGCACTTTGACACAAAAACATAACGTTGATAAAATATTCGACAAATTTCATTCCCATTCTCTCCCCTGATACAAAACAGAAGGCATAAGACGAAAAACTGCTGAAACATAGAATGCTTTCGCAAGTTTTAGCATGAAAGCAACTAACGAGCGATTCGGATGATCGCTTCCATGTGTAGCCTCACCATACCGGCCCATCGAAATCGCTCACTACCAATGTCTGAATAAGTACAACTACATGGAATCGCTTGTGAATTTTACTCGAGAAACACTATTTGTGTATTAACAAGCATGAAATATCGACCAAATGATGGAAGAAATAAGGAACTCACCAATATCAGCCACTAAACCCCACGTAATCGATAGGAACATGCTTCTGTCACCATCTTTTTCAGTTTGAACATGACATATTCGCAAAGGCAAATATCGAGGCCTGGCAACCATCAGCGCTGCCTCCAGGCAAAATATTCCTCGTGGAGCGAACGGCTCACTGAATGCAATCGTATCACACCACAAAAATCAACTGAGTACGAGTAAATAAAATGAAATGAGTAAAAAATACGAATAAATTCATCGAAACCACTAACTTGCACTGAAAGCAAATCGAAGCTGCGAGTGCATTGCTTGTTCCACCAGGAATGTGTGCGATAGGCATCTTCAAAGCACGTTCTCGATCCGGTCGCAGTAAAAACCCTTCGATAACCTCAGAGATCAACCCATCACCACTCATCACCGCTAATGCATCGTAATCGTCCAGTGGAACGACGTTTGCGATTGTCCGCGCATGCTTTACACATTCTTCAATACAAACGACACTATTATTTCGCTGGGAATTTACCCCTATGAGCAATTAGGCATCAAAATAAACAACAACACAGTACCACATGAGAATGCGATACTAGTTGTTGCTTGCAAAACAACTTAGAAGCAAACCCGTCTTAATAACTTTATAATCTAGTTGTGCTGCGATGAAAATTGGTTTGACGATTTCTTGCCACATTTTCCACGCTTTCTGCTGGCCACCGAATGGATTCACAATCACCAATATTCTACGACGTTTCCGTCGAAAATTCGACATAGGGATGTGTGCTGTAAGCGCATAAACTAATGAAACGAACAATTTCTTCTATAAAGCAATGAACAACGAAGATGAATGAAGATAATACGATGCAAATTCATTGCGAGCATCATCGCGTTTGTTGAGAGAAATCAGTGAAATGGCAAAATACGAATTGAAATTGGAAGAAACAAAGCTTACGAGCCAATGGCACTTTGGTGGCATTTTTGAGAAAGATGAGCCATTCATCTGACGCACTATCGTTATCGAAACAAACTTTCAGACTGATCGGTGATCGCTTTCCATTGATAATCGGATAAGAGATTAACAACAGTTCTGCAGAACATAAAAAGATCAGACTGATTAACATTGATCGTAAGAAATGCAGATTAAGCGGACAACATTAATCAATGATAAACCAATGCTCGCACGCTTTCTGTCTGAAGATATCGCATTTTCCAGTGTTTTAACAAATGCTCGAAATCTGTAGTAATCGATTCCAAACACTTTCAACTGGAATATGCTGGCGACTTTGAGTGGTGAGCGTGGAGGATAAAAAAGCAAACTATGGCATTTACTGACAAACTAATCACTGACCATTTTTGATAGGCTTTGAAACTGAAATAATATCGTCGTAGAAAATTTTCACACATTCGTCAGAATTCACTCGAAATTGAATCTCTTTGTTCGTTAGTGCACCTTCAATCGATTCAAATCGTTCCTCATCAATGGCAACGTTCACGGTCGCATGATGTTGAGCTGTCTCGAAGCTCATTCCGAGCTGGCATTTATGATATTTTCTATTTTTTGACAAAGCTGCACCCATTCAATTCTGAAATTTCCAAAATACATCGTAAATCGTAAAAATCATAAAAATTGATCATCGCCAGCAGCATATTCTGACACTTTCTACGTTCGCATGTTTCCTTATGAAATGTGAATGGGATTGTTGAATACGATCGTTTGCGATTAAGAAAAAAAAAAAGAAAAAAAAAAAAAAAAAAAAAAAAAAAAAAAAAA